AAAGAATGAAAATGCAAAAATGAGGCAAAGCAAAAATGTCCCTTTAGCCAAGTTTTCTTTGGTGAGCAGTAGTCATTTCTTAGGGTTTCCATGAGCCTGAATTTATACAGGTTAGCCGGTCACATCGGACCCTTCGAGCCTGAGAGCACAGAGCAGAGAGGTGGTGTCACATCCTGTGTCGCTTTCTCCTGTGCTCACTTGTAATGAGGCTGCACGTATCGTGACGGGATTCTTGTCATATATAACCCACAAAGCTTATGCTTTCCACGGTTAGTCCTTAATGAGGGTGGAGAGTCTTATAAATTTAATTCGATAGCTATACCAGGAGACTCATTAGTTCTGTTCGGAGAAATGTCTTTCTGTATTAGTCCATCAGCTCTGCTGATGCTTATGAAATGTCATTTTAAAAAGAGCTACTACCTGTATGTGAAATAGAATTTTGAGTCTGTTGTGTTTTGTACATCTTGTATATTAAATTTCTTGAACTATAGCCACAAAATTATTAGTCATCTCTATTTTTGTTCTACTGAGAAATTAGAAAAATTCAAAGTCTGAGTATTCCTTAAAAATGCATTTAAAACATTTATGAAACCTAAACTCAAAGCAACTTAATCAAATTGAATTTTATGAAAGAATAATAAAGAAAGGCTCAGGCGATCAGTTTCCGAGGAGTTATGGAACTAAAACCAGGTCCAAAATAAGAAAATAATTTATTGTGTAACTTAAATACAATCAAATATTGATTGAGGAATTTAGAAGGTGCAATTTTAAAAGATTATCTAGTTCGGTCCTCTTAGGCTTTTGCACAGACTTCAGAACTATAAAATACATCCAGCCTTTTTGAAAACTTTTTGAACTTTCCTCCCTCATTTATCTTAGTTTGTTTTATATTTTAAGTTCTAAGACTATATTTAGTTCCTTGATGTTTTTTTTTTTTTTTTTTTTTAAAGAAGGAGAAATTTTATTTTGGGTAGTACATGTAAATAGAATGCTGAAACATTTTTCTGTCTCAGAATAGTGTAGAACAGGATTTGTGTCTAGATATTTTTTGAACAAATCTGGTTATGAATTTGCACATTTTCTACATATGACTATACTTTTTTGGGGAAATCACATGAAATACATGATGAATTGAAGTCATAAATTTATAAAAATTAGAATATTTTATAGTGATGTGTTGGAAACTTTAAGAATAATTTACTGGGATGGCCAAATAGCTCAGTGGATTAAAGTACCTGCAAGTAGGCACAGGGGTTGGGGGTTCGATCCCCAGGCTTACCATACTGGCCCAGCCCCCAAGGTACACTGAGATGACAATTGAGACTGGGTGTGGTGGTGCACTCCTCTTGGAAGGCTATAGACAGGCGGATCACTATGAGTCCAATCTTGTAGTGGGACCCTGAATACCCTGTAGACCTTTCCCTAGGGAAAAAAAAAAGAATAATTTACTATTTTCACTTAATAAAGTCAAAGTAAACATAGAAATGAAAGAATGTTATTCGGATAGATTTTTACTCTTAGCAGGTTCTTGATCTGTTGGTCCTGCTTAAAGCAGAAAACACTACTGACGTTGAATTTGGTGAAGATATTTTGGATGGCTCCCCCGTGCCAAACCCAGTATCAGACACAATATGACAGGTCTTACACTGATAGAGTTCACCATTTAGGAGGGAAAAATGGACTGTGATTTGTCAAGTTTAGCACAAGGTGATAGGTACATAGAAGAGATACCAATGAAAGTCC